TAACTGGAAAGGATGGATAAATGTTCATCCTTGCTTCCTGTAATGAAGCTGTAACTCCATTACAGTCCTGGAACTGAATGGGTCCCTGAGATCTCTGTCCCTGAAATCAAACACTTGGAACCTTTTCTATCAAGACTGTACACCATATATAAAATTCAAGTTTCATGCTCTCTTAAGCCATAGTTGTATTCATAGCTTAGTGGATACCAGACCCAAAATGTCTTCCTCCTCCACACAGAGTCCAAATATATCAACTCGCTTTCTTAGGTTATGATAAAAATGAGGAGTAAATGATAGATGCTCTCTCCACCTTCTGGCAGGAAATATGCTGCTAGACTGCCTTGCTACACTAGCCTCTAGCTGATCTCTGCAGATTAAACAATGGCTGCTGTTGCTTTCCTGAAAAGAAAAGCATCTCCAGAAATCCCAGCTTTTTTTTTTTTTTTTTTTTTTTTTTTTTTAGCTGGTTATTATGTCCAGCTATCAGAAGCATGAAGAAACCAAGTGGAAAAATTGAATCTGGCAGTAAGAGTGCAGTGCATTGAAGGCACACGACTTCCAAACCCAGAGAACAAAAATAGCTGCAAGAGAAAAAAAATTGCCTGAAAGAAGCTCTTTAATTATTCCATTTTTTTCAGAAGCTTTGCTCCAGGCACACCCAGGCTGCCATTTGTATAGGGTGGCCATATGCGTTGCAGTAAAGCTTGAGCACTGTGGTATTAGAGAGAAGGAAGCTGCTTTTTTGGCTGTGTTTTCAAAGAGCTGGTAGCAGATCGATTGTGGCCAGAGCCCTGGGCACAAGGGAGTCTGTACTTTCATAATGAGTCACCAGGATTTCATTTTCAGTCCGGCTGATGTGAGGATGAAGGAGTTTAGATTTCTGCTTAGATGCTAGAGGCTGCTCCCAGAGGGCTGCTCAAGGAAGAGCTTGGAAGAAGTGTTGGAGGAAAGCAAAGAAAGGACTACCCAGCACTTAACTGGTTCAGTCTGCTGGAGAAAGTTCCTTGGCTGTTGTTGCTATGGCACGGAGGACCGAAATCTTCATGATGGCTCTTTCTGCTGCTGCTACAGAAAGGCAAAGTCATTCAGCTGTGCTGACACTGCAGTCACCAGCAGCCCAGTGAATCTGCGTTTCAGGACACTGACAGAACGCCCAGTCTTCTAGAAGCCACCCATTCCCTTCTGGGTGTCTTAAGTCTTTATATCTTTCCTCTTGTGAGCAACACTGAGCATATTGCAAAGCTTTGAAATATTCTTGTGGGTGTTGTTTGTGCTGAAGATGGCCACATTGACATCTGAGTTTTCCCTAATTAGGGAGCAGATATTTGGTTATATATCTTTCTCTGGATTTCAGTCAATAGCAATTGTACGAAAGCTCCCTGTTGGCTGAGGTTCTGTTCAAAGGAACGCTGCAGCAGGACTGAAAAGTAAAGAAATTCCTAAACGCTAATAACCCATGTGATTTGCAAGCCAATGAAGAGGACGCTGTTAAATACACCTTCTAGAATAACCTTTTATGAACTGTCAAAGGGGCTTTACAGTAAGGTGTGGGTTTTTTAATTTTTGATTTGGGCAAGTCAGTGTCGGTGTCATGGACATCAGTTGTACACGGAACAATCGGGAAGAGGAAGAGAGGGATGCCAGGGCAGGTGGGCACTGTGACACAGCAAGGGAACAGAGTATGACATTTCTGTTGAGCTGAAGCAGAGGCCCTTGGTCTCTAATGGCATCAATCTGTTGTCTGACCCTTCAGTTAGAGTTTGGAACGTCCCTTTTGGCTGTATGGCTTCAGTGAGCAGCCAGGAGACCAGGAAGTGCGATGGGTCTTTAGGAGATGCTTGGCTAGTAGGACCTAAGCCACCGTCTATCAGAATCGTGGCAGCTTCACGTCACAGGAGTCCCCGAGTCAGGCCAGAGCTTGGAAGGACAGTAGTGGCAATGCTGTGGGCTGGACATGGATCTGTGTTTGTCATTTTCTGTAACGTTATTTATTGTGTTTCCTCCTTTTCCAAGTGCCTGCGGTGGGATGGAGAGGTATTTGTGGAAGGCAAAGGCTGGCATTACAGTGTCATCCCAAAACAGGGCTTATTTAAAAAAAAAACCCCAACAAAAGTGCAAAAAAAGAAATAGATGCACTATACTTTGTGTTTCTGCTTTTATCATAGAAACCTGCAGCGACCGGTTGCCTCCCTTTGCATAAAGGAGAGCCCTGCAACCGCAGCAAAGTCAGGCCGTGGGACCCTGCACAGAAGTATTCCTTGGTGGGGAGTTGTTTCCAATGAATTCCTACACAGCTATGACCTATACACAAAGATTTGCTCCCACCATGGCAGGTGCAGATTTAGTCTCTAGTTATCTGCAGTTTTGAGGAACTTCTGATGAAAAAGACCCTTCTGAACAGGCACAGTTTCTTCCTGTCTCGCCTGCTCTGTCCTGGTTTCTTGCCACGTTCCTGACAGATAAAGGAGAAGGTCAGGGATCAGGTACCCTCCTGAGCAGCCATGCTACATTACTGCAACGTCAGGGAACCCAGGGCTTGCTCTGTGCAGAAGCACAGTGCTCGGCTGCCCTCTTGTTTTGCTCGCTTGGCGTGCCTTTAGATGGAGGGTGTCTGTGAAATCCCTGTCTGAAGTTCTGGCCTCGCCGTCTTCGGCATTGAGTGTCATGGCAGGGACAAGGCTGTCTGGTTATCGAGAGAGAAGTGATGTGTGAGGTGAGGGAAAGTGTAACAAATATGCTTCACTTCACGTGCTCAGCAGGTAGCAAACTCTTTGTAAGTACATCTTTCTCCTTGCCTGGCAGGAAGTAGAGGAGCCAATTGTAGGCAGTAGTTGTATTTTTTTTTTTTTTTGCATCCGGTATTTTTGAATGAAAGCAGATTCCAGGCTGTCTTCTGAGATATATAATGGTGATTAATAGCCTAGCCTGTTTCCTCTGGATTTGATGTTCGGCTTATGTTAAGATGTAGGGAGTATTGTTTGCTGAGATGACATCAAGAGCTCTTGGATGAAGGGAGTAGAGACACATCCTTTCCTCACACAGCATTGGCAGGGTTTCAGTGCTTCTCGCTGCTCACAGAGCTGAAGAACATCACAGCTCATTTATGAACAGCAGACCTACCTCTTTTTCTCCTTCGGACTCACTTCTTAAAAGAAACCAGATGAGGAAAGGGCAGCAGCAGAGTCACAAGTGGCCTGTCAAGGGCCAGCATCCCCCTTCTGCCCTCCCTGGCTGGGAGCAGCATGGTCAAACCACAGGCTAGAAGGAATTTTTACTGGAAAGGGACATTGATGGAGGAGACACTCATCTGCTTGTAAGCAGTATCATCTGGGAACGGGAGAGCAGTGAAAGGGGAGGACAGGAGTCTCTCTGAAGGAAAGTTAAGGCTGTTACATCACGGTCCTTGAACATGCAGCCAATTTAGATTCAGCAAGACAGTTATTAGACCCACAGCCTTTGAGGCCACAGCAAATGTCTCACAGCTTACAGATGGGGACTGCCCTCACCTGTGTGAGGTATTACACACCTTTCCCATTGAGGAATGCTTAGGGTAGATGTCACTGAGTGTGCTGTGCTACTTGAGTTATGTGTAATCTTTGCAAGGTACGTATAAGTACCATGCTGTTGGCCAGAACCCTTCCTCAGCATGGCAGAAATTTAGATTACACCCCCAGCTTTGTGACTTTTTGAGCTTTCTTGTTAAATTTATCCTTCCTTCTCTTAGAAGCGTGTCCCTTGGTGAAGACAGTCGCTGTCTTCATCATTCACTAATTCACTGAAGACACCAAAAGCCTCAGAGGCACAGAGTTACCACATACTCCAGTGGTTCCTTCACCACTTTTGCTGTTCCCTTTGGTTTGTGGGCGTCCTGTCCTTTTGCTGAGATAGCAGTGTTGGTTCGTGGGGCTCTAAGTCACGTCTCTCCCCACTACTGTTCTTTCAGCTGGCACATGTTCAGTGCTGGATTTTTTTAAAGCCTGAGTATAATATTTCAGGAACCAACCTTTTAAATGACAAGCCCACAAACTTAAGAAGCTCCTTGCAGTGAAATTTGGGTTGCCTATCCTTGGTGCATAAGGGTGGTGTGAGGCTTACCACATTTCCAGGTGTGCGGTTAAAGAAACAACTGTCCAAGTATAGACATCACACAGCTGTGAGCAGCTCTGCAAAGGAACGCTCACAGGTTTACAGTGCTTACTGTTGGATTCTGGCCTCAGAAAAGTCGTTTCATACCACATGCCTCAGTCTGGGAATGCCTCTTGCAAATGGCTGATGTCATGTTACTGTTTCACTTTGGGTGGGAGGCCTGGTGACCTTTGCAGCTGGATTCTAATAGCCTCTTACTGTCACATCTGTCCAGTGACATGGAAAGAAAACAGATCCGATAAGCCTGGAGCAGATTTATCTGTAGGCAAGCAAAGCCCCACGTGTGTGACAGAGACTTACGGTATTCAACGACAAAAGGATCGAGATGTGTTTCTGCTTAAGCGATGGCTCCTAAGGTTCAAAGGATGTAGTTCACCATGCGGCTGTACTTGAGGCACAGTTATAGCCTAGAAAATGGGGTTTGGTTGGTACTGAAGCAGGCGATCTGTGCCTGATGCGAGTGGATGGCTAAGGTGTAACAGTGGTTATTGCTGTGTCACTGAGCATTACCACCGGTTAACAAGGTCACTGAATGAGTTTGCTGTGTACGACTGCCACAGCTCATCTGAATTTCTCTGTGACACCGACAGAAGATAGCATCATCTCCATCGCTTTTTCCAGCCCCGTGGAGTTCATTCCTGATGAGGAATGTGACCTTTCTGCTGAGTAATCCAGTCCCAAGCTTACGTAGCAGCAGGAAACTCCCAAGTGGGACGCGTGGATCCCACCTCCTGTCCACCACCAACACACAAACCTTAGTGCCCCTGATCTTTACTCACCCGGGACTTCCTGGCTTCCTTCCCAATCAGCAAAACCAATCAATGAATGATTTCTTTTTGCTGTTGTCATTGCAGGGCAACCATTGATGAAGTGGAAACAGATGTGGTGGAGATAGAGGCAAAGCTTGACAAGGTAAGATGGGGCAGCTTGGCGCGTTGGTTTGAAGAGGGACTGACTAGTTCCTGCTTAGGAATATGGCCCCACTAGCCTCCTCTAAAGAGTGAGCCCATCTCGGGCTGTCTGGAAGCTAAGGCAGAATACACTGGGCCTGTCAGTAGGACCATGTCTCCCTCTACTGACAGGTACCTGTCAAGGCCCCTTTGTGACTGCCAAAGTTGTTAGGACAAGAGGTCCAGACAGGCTCCTAATGCTGAATGATGGCCTCCTTGTTCTGGTCCTGGATCTCAGGGGGCTGACACTTCTCCTGTTGTGGCAAGTTATTTTGGTGCTATTTCCCCTCTCCACCAGCTGGCTTGTGATATGAAGCTGGTGGGGTAGGAGCCATGACATGTCCACGCAGTGTGGGCATCACTGTGTCAGCTCAGGGGTGTAAGGAGACACTTGCAGGTCAACAAGGGGCCAGATTCAGACTGATGATGGTGGCCACTGTCTGATGTTCGGCCAGGCTGTGTGCCACAGCTATAATCTGACACTGGAAATATCCTCTCAGGGACCATTTTGGCCATTTTGCATTTATGCTGGTGATTCCTGTTGGTAGTTTGGATCTAAGTCAGGGGCTTTATGATGGAAGGTGGCTTTTCCACCCTTACTCCTTTTAATGTGTGAGACATCAGCCAAGGTTTCTAAATGAGAACAGAGAGAAATGAAGAAGAGCTAGAAGAGCTGTTACTTTTTATCTGCGAGATTTCCCAAAGCTAGCGAGGGATAAAACTCCTACATTTGATGGAGAAATGGGCTTTGTTGAAGTCACAAGCCCTAGGCAAAGCTGTGTCCTATAAAACCTATTTACTAATCAAGCTGCTTGAAATGGTTATGTGCACAAGTTCACTAGTCTCACTGGTGAAAGCTGCAAAGGGATTTAGGTCATCTGTTTTTCTCTAAGCTGAGGCTCTAAAGACAAAGCTTGGGGTGAAACTTGCTCTGATGCTAGCACCACTGCTGTCAGTGCTCCTCGGAGTTAGACAACTTGGTGTGCCACGAACAACCCTGGAGCGAGGAGGGTGGGCTGGGAGCACAAGAGCTGTTCAGGACTCTCAGTTTTTTATTGTTCAGTGCTTTATTGCAAATTGATTTGAGCTCCTTTGGGTGAGGACTGCATTAAAACAATAGTCTCGTGCAATTTGGGTCTTCCCCTGGCAGCAGTTATGGGGTGACGTTCTGGTAGTGCAAAGTGGGTGGACATTTCATTCTCTTTGCATGCATCATCTCCCCTGTCAGCTGCAGAGACGACTGGTTGTGCAAAATGCTGGCTCAGTCACTGTCAGCAACGGGCTTATCAGGCCTGGGTGCAGGGCAAGCGAGGCTGGAGCTTCTTTGTGAAAAGCAAGTTCGAATTAGTTTCTCTGAGGGTAACTTTGGACAAGATTGATTCACCCTCGTTTCTAGTAAATCAGCAGCTTTCCTAGGGCTCGGTGTAAATGTTGTGCAGTGGTACCCAAATAGCTGGGTACTTCTTAAAAAGCAGCAAGCTGGCAAGGACTAGCTGTTTCTCTGCCTTTTACTGTGCCCCTGAGCACTTTAGTTTATAAATGATGAGGTTTTTCAACACCTGTTTAAAATGAAGGTAAAGGGCAGTGTAAATGATTCATCCAAGGGAACACCAAATATTTGGGCTCGATTGCTGTTTCAGAGAGATATCCTTCATTCTGCCCTGTGCTCCATCTGCAGAGGCATCATTGCTCCCCTTGGGAGTGTGCTTGGGCTGAATGGCCTTCAGCTACTTGTAACACGGCCACAAGGGTTTGCACAGAGGCATGCTAGAAACCGCCACGTTGCAGAACGGGCTGGATTTCCTTTCCAGAAGATCTGTCCAAAGCCCTAGTGTACGTCTGGCCTCCAGATGTGACAGGAACTGCATCTGTTTGCTTTTCTTCTCTGGGCTTGGATGGGATAGTACAAGTCTGCAAGCGTCCAATGCTGTTCTGTCAAATTGTGTGGACAGGAGAGGATGAGAGTGTGAACGAGTGAAAACTGTATAAACCGTGTATACACAGATATACCACATGTGACTATAGATGTATTTATACATTCAAATACACTCATATTTTTACAGAACTGCAGACAGAGGCAAGTAAACTTGTCCTGCAATGCATGCGTATGGATCAGACCCCAAAGGCTTGTGCCTGCATGATTAGAACAAGCACCAGGCCCCAAACCAGCACACCGTGGGGTTTTGACCTCAAGTCAAACTTGAGATGCACTCATGCCCAGCCAGGTGAGGCTGATTGACAGGGAAAGATTTCTAAAGCCATTTTTCATTAGTAAGATCAATATCCCTAAAAAGCTCCTGGATTTTAAGGATGGGAAACTTCAGTTCCAAGCGTCGTTCATTATCAGCAGGTAAAGTTTTTCACTTGGTTAAACAGCCTAGAACAGTGATGATATATAAAAAAACCAAAAAAACAATAAAAAATTCTGCTTAGTGGCCAGCCGTTACTGTTGCAAATCTCTTGGGTCTTTGGTTTATGGATTTATCTTAACATAACTTTTTACAAGGAGCTTTGGCTGAAAAGAGATAGGCTAATGGCCAGGAATTCTGGCCAACTAATGCTGGTCTTTACAGCCCCTTCCAGGCGTGCTAAGGCAGTTTTGCTGTAGCTAGGAAGTGACTGTTCCCTGTTCAATTATCCAAAGTTAATAAAGCCCGTGTAGAGATGTGTCCTTTTGCTGCAGAAAACTAATCCCTAAGTGAGGAAACTACCCCATTTTACTGCAAGTTCCAGTTAACTTCACTGGTAACTTCACTATAACAAGGCTGCTGCTGAGGATCAGTGTGTGTCGCTTGCTTAAAGTTGTTAACGTTTCTCCAGTCAAAGCTCTTTCCAGGTCCATCAGAAAGGCTGTGCTAAGTCACAGGCAGTCCAGAGAGACGTTCTGTAATCCCTCACAGTGCACCAGCAAAGTTTCCTTGGTCTGCAGAACTGGGGGAGTTGATTCATAGTTATGTCATCTTGATTTAACCTGTGTGTGAGGGAACATTGATTTTCACTGCCTGCACACAGCAGGCACAGCTTAAGCAGTCCTGCTCAGTTGGTTTAAGGAACACACGATACAAAAATGTCAGGCTGGTGAATGCTGGCTCCCCTTCATCCCAAGGTAAGAGCAAGAGAAGTCTCTACAGGTGCACAGAGCAGCTAGCTGGGCTCAGAGGCTCGACAGTCCCAAAGAGCAGCATGCTCCCAGCAGGGAGATTCCACACAGATTATCCCTTCCACGCAGCACCAAGGAGCCTTACCCCTCCCCAGTCAGTCTGTGTGATGAGGTCCATTTTATTGCAGTCCTGCAGCCTCAGGATAGAGCGAACATTTAGAAACCCACTGGAAAAAAAGGGCTGCCCGGGTTCATCTGTCCTCAGGGGATAACGAGGGAAATGCCGACAGCATGACAAACCCTGAGAAGTACAATTTGCATCGCTGCTCCTGCCACGTGCAGCGAGGGACGCAGCCACACCAGGAACACGAATGCCATCCTGTTCTAAAGCTCTCGGGCCGTGCTGTTGGTGCAGATTAAAACCAGCCTGTTTGCAATTCATTCTGATGTGATCAGCTGCCTATCTGCTCACACCTCTCTCCTCGTGCAGCTGGTAAAGCTATGCAGTGGGATGATTGAAGCGGGCAAAGCCTACATCACCACCAACAAGCACTTTGTCAGCGGAGTCCGGGACCTGTCGCAGCAGTGCAAGAAGGATGAAATGATTTCGGTAAGTCATCCTGTGGGATGGAGCATGGGACACAGCGAGGGCTTGGGGAGCGTTCAGCTTCCTGATGCTGTGAATGGACCGTATGCCCAAGATCCTTGTACTGTTTAAGTAGCCACTTAGCGTGAGATTTTATTTTTGGAGGAATGTAGAGACTGTTTGATAACGCAATGCTGGAAGGTCAGACTGCGATTGATTCATAGTTTGCAGGGAGAGCTGGACTTTTAAGAAGCCACAGTGCTGGCAAGGTTGTTGGAATCTAGGTCAGTAAGCATCAGTCATTTAGGAAACGCGGGTAACCAGCCTGCACAAGCAACACCTGACGTGCTGATTTCGGCACTAAAGTGGAAAGCACGGGGAGCCTATGGCTTCAGTGTCAGACGTTTTTGGAATGCCTTCTTGCCACATGGCAGAGCAGCTCTTGAGTCGCTTGATGAGAGTGTCTCTCAGCTGCTGAACCCCTGGGAATGAAGGGCAGCTGCTTCTACTCACTGCCAGTTCTCTTTACCTTATTTTGCAGGAGTGCCTCGACAAATTTGGAGATAGTCTGCAGGAAATGATTAACTATCACATGGTAAGATGCTGCTTCCTCTTGTCTTTTTGTATGCTGATGGCAACCTCTTTCTCAAGACACTGAGTAATGGTCTCCTGTGTTTGGCTGAGTTGACACTACGCAAAGGTGGGGTCCGTGAAGTCTTTCAGGTTCCAGTTCCTGCACCTTGTGTACTGTGAGAGCAGGAAAGGGCTTGGAGTTATTGTTGCCTCATGCAACAGTATTGAGCTGTGAGTCTGCGTGCTCACAATGATCAGTCCTGATACATCACGTATGCCAGGAGATGGGATTTCCACAGGCTTGCAGAGGAGGTACCACTAGGTGAAAGGGTATGTACTGTTGCACAGGTGCCTTTTGGCTCGTCTCAGATCAGAGATGCACAACGAATATGTAGAAGGGTGAGGTTAGAGACCCCTTCATCAAAGGAAGTGGAGAGTTTACAAAAGTCCTGCACTCCAGATGCCTTGTTCTTTGTTTTGGACCGGCAGAGGATTTTGTAGTGGGGACAGACAGGGTCCTGAGGAGCTCTGACAACTCAGGACTCTGGCTGTTAACCAGTTTGCATGTATAACCTTGTTGCTGCAGATTTGGAATGCACTCTGAAGCTTGGCATTCAGATTTGTGACATTAGGACCCCAAGCAAGGCTGTGAATGGATCAAACCGAAAGGACCGCATTGTTTGGGGAGTTGTGTGCAGCTCTAAGGATAACACAGGACAGATTAATTCTACACTGAGATGAAAAGAGGGAAATGCCCAGACAATGGCTATTGTCCTGAGCTGGCTGTATCTCACTACCCGAGCCCAAGGAGTTAGAATCTGCCCTTTCTCCATCCTAAATATGGCATCTCTAAACCTTGTAGACAAGGAAGGTGGTTCGTGCTTGGTGGCTCTTTGCCAGACCCACAATTTTAAGGCTGTAACTCGGTAGGAGCTTAAAGCACAAGTGCTCTGAAGTGAAGAAAGCTTCAGGGTGTCAGCACTGGACTGACCCATTTTTATACCGCGATGCCCCTGTCAAAGTACATTAGGCACAATGTTTGCTTTTGGGATGTAAGTTAACCACATGCAGCTGGAGAAGAAGCTGCCTCAAGTCCATTTAATTTTTTCATGAAGCAGGTGGGAAGGCTGTTTCCTAGTAAAAACTGGCAGGGAAAAGAGGCAGTGTACATACAGCTCTCCTAGGACTGTTAATGTTTGGGAACAGGCAAACAGCTGTACGATGGTGTTGGTGGGGGGAGAGTGAATAAACCAGTGTGGGCATCAGAGAAAAGCTCTGTTTGTGTCAAAGCAGAGAAAGTCAAACCCTGATTTTCTGTTGCTGCTCACAGTCCCTCTGAAAACGTAAAGCCTTTCTGCCAAGGAGCGTATGAACCGCTGAGAAGCTACGCCTTCATTCCAGGGATCACGCTGCAGCTGCACTGATAGGAGCTGGGCTGAGGAGTGCGTGCAGCCCAGCCGTGAGGAAGCAGTCCCAGCCAGAAACCTCTAGATGCAAAATGCTGTCCACAAGCTCCGCAACACCAGCTGTGCAGCTTCCCCTGGATCCCCAGGCTCTGCCAAAAGTGGCACTTCTGGGATTGCTCTTGCCTCAGCCAACTCATAAGCAGGAGGACCCTTCCCAGAGCTGTCAAATCCCCAAGTGATGTGGTATAACCCTTCCCATGCACCCCACCCTGTTCAGCAGGGGCGAGCTGCCCTCTCCGTGTGACTCAGGGGTTCTATTTCCCTACCACCGCCTGCGTGCACAAGGGGAAATGTGCTTAAATCCTGCCGCCCCCCGCCCCCCCCGCCTTTGGAGAGCACCCTCCTCCCTTGGTGCTCAGCAGCGTGAGTCCCTCTCCAGGAAATGGCTTTGGAATGACTGCTGCATCTTGAGTCCGACGGCTGTTCGGTTAGCTGAGTTATTTTTAGTGCCTTCTGCTGTCTCCTTTGTGTGTGCCTGTGCGTGTGTGTGTATGTGTATCTTGGCTCATCCGGGTCTGAGGATCTCAACTATGAAACAGTTGTCAGTGCATACTCTAGGAATGTGGCCAGGACAGTATGTACAACTGGAACAACTTAAAAAGAAGGGAAAATATCCCCCCCAAAAAATCGGTTGGAAAAGCTTGGTCTGTGATTTTATTGCTAGAGCACGGGGCCCGGAAATGTCCTGGTTCTAGTTCAGCAAAATCCAAGCATAAAACTCGCTTGAACGTAGAAGATGAACACACTGAGCTCCAGAGCATTCCCACCTTCCTTTTAATGCACAAGGAGGAAAAAACATCAAAGCAGCCTTAGAGGACAGATGACAAAAGAGAGAGTTAAGTTCAGAACAGCGGGAGTCGGTGTCCTCTGCCTTTTTTTCTGTTCTTAGCCACATGCATTTGGGCTAATGCCTTATGTCGAAGCATGCGTAGAAGTTGGAAACCTCAATACCTTTATGGATCTGGACTGTCGTATATTTATGTTTCAGCATCCATATCTGCAAAAAGCATTTCAAGTGCTTTCCTGTCTCTGAGGGACCGTTGGAAGGACACACAGACTAACGACTAACAGAAACTCTGCTAATTTGTGCCAGGTTTGTCAGAAAGATGAATCAACACCTCAGATAATAGAATTTTTGCCCAAACTGTAGAAAGGGATGAAACCAAGAAAGCATAGACAGACAGAAGGACAAAAGGAGAGGTTTAATACTGAGATTAAAGGTGCTGGAATTCAAATTCTGTTAAACCACACGGAATTCTAGGAGATTACACTGATATAACTGGAAACAGTGTTGGCCCCCTCTCTGAGAGTGAAATTTGAGTAAAGAGAATTTGAATTTGGGAGAGCAGCACTGCTCCGTGGGGAGCAGTGTCTGTGGAGAATTTCAACCACGGTCAAGAAGCTGCTTAGCAAAAAGCGCGGGGAGCAATTCTGCGTCGTCCTTTCCCCATTCACATCTGTGCTTCTTGCTTTGCTTCAGGGAGAGAAAGCAAAACAACCAGATTATAAAGCTGCTTGGCCCTTGCAGAACCAAGGAGGAGAAAGCACTTGCACCTTCTGGGTTAGCTCCCAGTTAGGAGACTGGTTAACCCTCAGGAATTGCTTTAGCCTAAGCAGTTTCATGACCTCTTCCAACCAGCACAGACTCGCCATACCATAGAGAGGGGCAGTCCTGCCTTCTCTCCTTTTCTAACTCTTTCCAGCATCCTTTTCATCCTGCCCTAGTGCTGGCTCAGGGGGTCGCACAGCTGCAGAGGGCACTGGTCTGGGTCCAGACCAGACAGGTTTTTAGCTAGTTAAAACCTTTTCACAGGGCAGCCACACAAACAAAGCGAACTCTTGAGCAGTGCTACCTTGTGCTGGTTGAAAAGGTTCATGAAGCTGGGTCCAGGGCTTCCCTGAATGGTACTCTGGAGGTGACTGCCTCTCCCCCTTAAGGATTTAAGAAGTTTGGGCTCCTGGCTTTAGTTGTGTTAGTCCTGGCTAAAATGGCTTGCTTGGGCAGCTGCTTTACTGGGGATGGCTTTGTAGGGGAGACAGGAGAGGTGAGATGCCTCAGACAAACCGAAGTAGGTAATGATGACGGAGGTCAAGGAACTAATGTCTCTAGCTGGTTGCGTTGGATTTGAGCAGTGAGCTGGAGAATGGCACTGCCCCAGCAGCCCCAGAGGATCTGTTTCTGTAACATGCCCACTGCTTAGCTCAGAGGCTGATTTTTGGTTGCTGCTCTAGGGAAAACGGCCTTCCAATGTCTTGGGCAATTGGCTTCCTAGGATGTTCTGTTCAGAAATGTATGCTTAGTGGCTTGAAAAAGAGGTTCCTGCTGATGTTACAGCGCTGACCTCTTGAGGCATCGCTGCAGATGTCGGTAGTAGCATCAGCAGAAAAGCCAAAGGTGCTGCTGGCTGCCACGTTGCCTCCGAGTCAGATCCAAGGCGGGATGCTGTGCATGGATTTCTCTTGGTGGCTCTTCTGTGTCTGGATGAATATTGCGTTTTGCTTTAGGGGGCTGTCATTTCCCTCTCCTAACAATCCTGTCTGCTGAATTCCTTTTCGCAACTTTTCTAACAGCGATTCAGTGGTCTGATTCCCAGTTGTGCTAATGCTGTATTAGATATCCAAGGGATGAGGATCCCCAGCCTCAGGCATGCGAGATCCAAAATTTCAGTTCATCCAAGAGGAAAATACCCGATGAGTCACAACTGTGACTCCTCCCCGTGTTCCAGAAGCAAAATACCTTTCCCTATTGACTCTAGGAGTCCTGCAGTTGCCAGTTGTGCTACGAATTTAAAAGCATCAGCTGTTACCTCCAGTCCTTGTAAAAGTACAGTGTTTAGGGTAACTGGCTCTTTACCAAACACAGACAGGGCAGGGGGGCAGGATCTCAGTGGTATTTAGTTCTCCAAGTACCAGTGGATTCAGTGAAATGGAGACACTTGGGCACCTGTGAAGTGTTAGCTTGCCCTTCCTACCCCTGAGCGAAAATGAAATCTGAAAAATCCCTTGTACCCGAGATCCTGAGGGAGCGAGGGGTCTTCCCCCTCACTGTGTAAGCTCTTCAGTGTCCCAAAGCAGTTCCCTCTAGTAAATGTTACGATCTGTCCCATTATTTGGACTGTTCTGTTGCTCCCCTACCTGGCAGGAGCCTTTGCCTCAGCACGGGGCGAGGTGACGTTTTGCCCGCTCTGTGCCCCGTCCTGCAGCGCGGGGGGCGGCTGCGCTGTGGGAAGGATGCTGCAGCACATCGCCTCGCCGGGAGAGCTTCCATCTGCTGGTTAGAGGTGCATGATCCATGACGGAAACAAGTTTCCAGCTCCCTCCCCAAGACCTCTGAGCAGCGGGTGGCAGACAGGGATGCCAGAGCCTCGCAGCAACCTTACTGCTCAGCTCCCCAGGGCAAACCATTTCCTTTCACAGGAGCCTGAGTGGCATGAACTGGAATTTTGCTCGAGGGCCTGAAGTCTCCCCCGATGACCCCTCCTCCTCGCTACATACCACACTGGAGCAAAGAAATTTTGACTGTGTCTTGCCAAGCTCTTCTGTACTGGAAACACTC